CCCAGAGGACACACCCAATTCGGTTTGAATTGGCGAAACTATCAACTCGATTGAAGGACAACTTTAATGTACACACAGCACACAGCAGCTTCATCCATTAGCAAAAGGCATCGGGCTCTGAGCAGATAGTATACTTTGAGTGGCCAAAAGCAGCTTGTTAGACACTCGAGCCTTTGCCAGTTGCTACTTTGGCAGCTTCTTTGCCTTTCTACGGGCTCCAGCCTCATGTCCCTGCTCCTCTTCCAGCTGCTTTTGCCTTCTCCTGCCGGCTTGTTTTCAATTATCTGGCATTACACTTAGATACACACTTTGATACACATCATTGGCTGCTATGTGTGTGTGTGTCTGTGTGAGCGCGTTCTAATCAATGAACATTGAATAACTCCTGGTATGTGGATGGGACTTTTTACGAACACGTCTGCACTTTCCATTCAGGAACAGACTAGGGCCCAAGGGGAAAGTGAGGCGTACACAAAGTCGAAGTACTTAGTGATGGGAAGTATCTAAGTAGATAGGTAGTTAACCAAAGCGATATATTTGTTAATGTTTTAAAAACACGAAACACAATTGAATATATCAATAATTTAGCTATTATACTCCACAATCTATTGTTACTTGAAATATAAGTTTTAAAGCTGCAAGCCCCTGTAAACTTGTATAAACTATACAACAACTGACGGATCTTTCAATTTCATTCACAGTCTATATTATTGATTTACTGCCACCTCTATCCTGTTCCTGACAATGTGCTGCAGTTCCATACCAACACGCATCGGTAAGGATCTCGCGCACACACTTCTATCTGATTAGCAATTGCACAATTAACCCTTGGAGGCCTACACTCATGTGTGTGTGAGTGTGTGGGAGAAAATTAAAATTACCTTTTAACTAGATTTCACACCAACCCACTCTGCCTCCGGGTTTCGCAATCGTTCTCACTGAACAATGACTTGGCATATTTTAATTAACCCATTGTGTCGCAAGTTCCTGCTTCGTGCCAACAATTATCATTTGCGACGAACGCATTCACACTGCGCCCAACAAAACGACGATGACAGTCAGCGGTTTTTAATTAACTTTACCAAGCCGGCGTCGCATTTCTGCTGAAATTAAAGACTAAAAATAACAGGGATTGTTGGAAATCGTTGTGGTTTGCCTTTGATTTAAGCTAGAAATTTTGTTAATTTCAGAGTAAAAGGGGTGAAAGGATTTAATGGAATGCGAACTAATTTCATTGGACTAAATTCGATGTAAAGCGTAACATAAGGGCTGGATTTTCACAAGTATTAAAGCTTAAAATCTTTACCATCAATAAAGTTAGATTTAAATACTTAGTTTGAGCTTAAAGTTACATAGACTTGAACATTTCGCTTTTGAATGGCTGCTAAGTTTTAGAAAAACTTAATTATACCCAGAGCTAGTTTATAGCATCCTAATGATATAAATTAGAGAATAGCAAAGTTGGTCTTTTAGGAAACTTTTGCGCTGCAGAAATTCAAATTCATAAAGTTCACTATTTTCTAGCAAATTAGTTATTCAAGGCCATGTTAAAGACCGACGAGGCCAAAGAATCCTTTGAAACAATCCCAAGAATTTTGTAGGTGCAACAATTTTCGTGTCTTCTCTTTTATAGTTTTTCTGCAATTTTTTTTTGTTTGCTTGCTTTTTGGTTTCCAAAGTTTTTGTTATGTGTGAAATTCAGTGTTGGCCGCAATCTAGCTCCTGAATCCTGGCGCCTGCTGCCTGGCAGGTTCTTTGTCTGCGGTTCCAGTAATGTGTGTGTGTGTGTGTATGCCAAGGGGTGTGTGTGTGTTCTTGTGGGTGCGAAGGATGGGTTTTTGGGGGGTGCCAAGGCAACTTGGAGCGTCTTAATTAGCTAATGGTTGCCTTGCTGCCGCACGGCCTCGCAGGCACGAAAAAGAGCTTAGACTGCCTTGCCGGCTCAAACTCAATTTGCCACGTAATAAATTGGCCTGATTGGCATGCAAAAAAAAAAAAAATAAAGAAGAAGGCATTTCCCTTTTTTCATTTTCCTACCTGCTGCATTGATAATAATGCAAAGTCCTGGCTACTTTGTCTAGGGCTTGAATGCCCTGTCAGAGGATTCACGGAAGCAGTGGAAATGCAATTTACTTGGACATAGCCATCCTGCTGAGCTACTAATCAGGACTATGCAATTTGTGGCTGATCAAAGGACTCGCCCTTACACTGGGAGAGTGGATCCTTAAGAAAGCAAATACGTAAGCTAAGAATAAATATAAAATATATATCAGTTTGGGAAGATAAATAATGAAATTTTGTTATATTTGGATTGAAAAATGTATATAGTTTGTAAATAAAAAGAAAGTTGAGCAGATTGTTATGAAATATATTCCCTTAACTTTGTCATTTTAAAATACTTATCAACTTTAATATTTATGCTCCATATATGCCACACCAATCAAGATCTAATGATAAATATCAATTCTAAAGTATTATCTAGTCATCCCATCAATTTCTCTCCATGCATACCAACAGTCTAGGGGGAGAAGTTAAAAAAGCATCACAGAGAAACATCTGCTAAAAGGACACTTAATGGTTTATGTAAATTTCAGCCCTCGAACGGCCTTTTGGAAAGCGACTTTTAATATGTAGCCACATAAACATTTCGCTGCCCTGTGGTTTTGTCTATGGTGCTGGACGTATCTGCTGGCTTTTATGTAAATGCCTGGCCAACAGTGCGTATGATGTACGCATAAAATGTTTACGAGTGCCGTAATAAAATCAAATCAAAATTTAATGCTGGAACAAGAGCAGGGCGGCCAGGAGTGGAGCGTATCCAGGAGATCCTTTTATGCCTTTGCATCCATCAAAATGTCAAATGACCTGTCCACACGAGATGGCCAGTCCATATGGATATGGTTGTACTTGTACTTGTATGCTCACTGTTGCTCTCTCCCTTGAAATCCCCAAACAAATCCTGTTTCTCTAGGATGTAACTCGCCGGGGCATCAATCAGGATTCGGTGTGGATGCGCAGGACTCCGTTCAGGAATCACGCTTGGCGCCGTGGCAAACTTTCTGCTAATCCATTTTACGTGCCTGCTATGAATATTCCAAGGGCAAGGACGCTCTCCAGTTCATTCGCTTCTCTGGTCGAGCATGAGAAATGAATTTACTTATCTGTAAGGGAAAATTCATGTTTGTCTCTGCTTGCAAATACCCCGCTCTCCCCGCAGCTCCTTGGCATTTTTCCGATGGCTGATTTCCTCATCCGGCGAAAATCGTCATCAAAAATCCAAAACATACAATTCCTTTTTCGTTTAATGTATGCATAAAAGACAGACGGAAGGTAGGGACTACTTTATTTGAAATATACTCTTCTTATAATCAGCTTAAAGGAAGGTAGGTAGTAAGCTTCATTTAAATAATAAATTTGATCAGAAACTTAAGACAACAGACTCGATATATCGAGAAGTTGCTTTGATAAATATTTAAGCGTAAATCGAATTTTGGTGTTAGTCTGAGTGGAGCTTAAGTTTTCTTGCTTTCATTTAAATTCTATATAAATAAAGGTTTTTGCTTACATTATTCTTTTGCCTAAAGCATTTCGAATTTATTTTATTCCATGAACAATAGAGTTTTGCTTGCTTAGAAGTATTTTCATTGTTTCCTTCAAACAACTCTTACCTTTAACCTTTTCACCGCGATTTTCTTGGAAATTGCATATCACCGGAAGCCGTCATTAGCACTGCTTACGGCAAGCTGTCGCTTCCTTTAAGCAGTTCGGATCGAAGTTCGTGCCGAGCAGTTATCACGGCTCCATGGCCATTAAAGCGAAATATGAATCCTTTCGGGCGAAATGAGATTGCTTACCAGAATGCGAACTACATTAGCGAATATGTATAGTACTTAAACGATGGCGGAGCTCCTTCCAGGGTTTATGTTGAACTTTTGCGGCGGCGGAAATTATTTCTGGAGCAGCTCCGAAATGGCCTTGAAGGCGGGCAAAGTTTTTCGCCCAGTCAATGGTTTCAGTCCGCCCACTTCATTCACTCATCATCAAGTCAATCAAGTTTTAATGATGCCACAATAAAGCCACCCCGCTGAATAATTTAAGAAATGTCCACGGGGCATTATTTTCCTGCCCTCTGATTTATATTGTGGCATACTTATGAGCTCAGGCGAAGGCGAAGAAATCTGAAATTTTAATTGCGAGCAATTTTCCTTAAGTGTCGTCCGGCCATAATTGCAAATTTATGAGAATTTTAATGAACGAGTACAGATTGCCAAACACGTTTCGCTTGCTTGGTTTGCACAGTTTTATTTTATTTATTGAAAAATACTTTTCGGTTTTCTTGCGGTTTCTTTCTTGTTGCCTTGGTAAATAGTTTCGCAATTGTTTTTTGTTTTTTCCTTTGGGTTTACACATATGCATTTAATGATATGATTTCCATTTATGGATTTTCGTATTCGACTAGCTGATTACACACACACATAGATATATATAATACATTTACATTTACAAATATATATAACTGGGTTTTTAGACCCAAGCGCAGGGTCTGGTAGTTGAACTCTAAAAATACAGACAACACAGTCGACAAGTATTTTATATCTTGTTTTTCTGTCCTGACATCTTTTCTTATGCTTTTTTTTTGCCATGACCAGTGCTGAGAAAAATCAACTTGAAAACGAGATAAATGGTTGAAAAATAAAAATATAGAGAGTAGAAAGTACTTAAATAATTTAATGCTATTGTTTAAAAACGTGAGGAATGTTTCGTTGAAGAATAAAACAGTTTAGTAATTAAATTTGTACTTAAACAATATCTTTAAAAGTACAATAAAGAACTTTAATTAGAATTTATAGTTTAAAGCTTGTTTCACTAGGGATATATTAAATAAACCTCGAAGAAATTGTCCTATTTGTTTGGTTAAGAACTTATCTCTTTAAAAAATAAAGCTAAAACCTACAGCACTGGTCTGGTTTTGTTTTTCTTTTTTTGTTTTTGTTTTGGGCTTAAGCCAACATTTTTCATTGTTTGTTTTTTGGGGGGATTTTGCGTTCAGCCAGATTGGGGTTTAATTCATTTTCATTAGGTCCGCCCCGTGTGTCAATCTTCATCAGAAGACGAGCGCCCAAGTCCGATGTCCCTTGTCTCCTTTCGCCGCAGGATATACCTTGTGACCGCCCCTAGCTGCTGCTGCTGCTGCCTGAATGATGGGGGATGAGATGGCCAGAGCCACGCCCACTGCCTGGGCCAGGATTCAAATTTCGTCGAGGGCAGCCTCCCCATTTTCAGTCCCGTCAGTCCTGCTTCCCTCGATTCCTTGTCTGCCGCTTCCAACAGCGATTACAACAGCCTCTCCAGATCCTCGCTCTCCGCGTCACTGATAAAGGAGTCGGTGTCCGTGAAGTAGTCGTCGTCACAGCGATTCCGGCGACAGCACACCCGCCGGCCCATCTCCTCGTCGCTCCAGTGCTCGAACTCCTCCTTGTGGTGCTCCAGCAGCATTAGTGACGGGAACAAACTATCGCAGCCACTGCATCTGTGAGGTGCGAAATTTCGTTTCGTTTGAAGGAGATTCAGATGGAATCCAGGCGAAAGCCAAAAACGAAAAATACACAGGACAGGCGAGGGGGGGGAGAAAGTAGTGAACAGGTGAAAAGTGAGAACGGCAGGTGGCTTAATTAAGTGCATTTCCCTTACCCGAAGTGACGCTTCTTTTGCTGGTGTGACGCCAGCTGACGGTGACAATGGAACGCTCTGTCGCACACGTTGCAGGTAAGGGATTCATCTGGAAATTATGAGGATATATGTAGGATATATATGAATAAGCGTACAGTAAGTCCTATAAAAGTGCGAAAATCTAGGAAATTGGTACATTCACTATACCCTCGCAAGGTATTACAATTTAGTTAAAAGCTTATAACGGAGTAAAGGAGTTATTTCCGACCCTATAAATCATATATATTCTTGATCAGCATCAACAGGCGAATCGATCTAACTATGTCCGACCAAAATTAATTTTTGTTCAAAAATTTAAAATTTTTATAAGGGGTACATCGTTAAAATTTTTAAAAATTGACAAAAATTTGAATTTTTTAAAATTTTGAATGGAATATGATGATTTATTAACCCAACAAAATCTAACATAGAAAAGCTTTCCGAATTGAAGTTAATGCATTTTTGGCCTAGTTATGATTTTGTTAATCATTGATTTTTCCAAAATATTTTATGGAAAAATTATGTTAAATATGGATACGAAAAATGCGAATATTTAAAGCTTGGTTATGATGTATTTTAGATTGGCTCCTAATTTTCCATTGCAATCTACATGGGCTTATAAACTTCATCTTCCTCAAGTTAGTTTTCTTTCTTCTTCGTATTTAATATAAAAAGCATAATATTTTGCTTGAACAATTTGCTTTTACTTTAACCTGCAATAACATTAAGTCAAGGACTTCGTCTCATAACCAGCTTATATTTCTCTTAGAAAAACCCCTTTTGCTCATTAGAGTAGCTTCCACTGTACCTCTCCTCGGTTGCAGTGTCTGCATCATCAGGTGCCCATTATGGAGTCCGGACTCCGGACTTTAAGTAAAACTCACCGTAGTCATCATCATCGTCGGCCATGGCCAGGGCATGCAGTCGACTTATTGTGTTTTCGTTAATCTCCTTCGATGTTGACGTGGCCCCCGCCAGGTCCTTTGATGTTTTGGCTTTCGCCTGGCAGAGGCCGAGCTCGCAGAGGGCGCTCTCTACCTCGTAGTTGCCCTGGCAATCGGCATCCGTGCAGGCCAACAGATTCCCATTCCCGCATCCGAGTCCACCTCCTCCTCCTACTCCTCCTCCTCCACCGCCACCTGCACTGCCATTGACATTGACGTTGCCATTGGCTTCACCTGGTGGCTCGTTGGCATTGCCATTGCCGTTGCCATTGTGGGCATGACTGCTACACCCGGCACTGGAGTTTGCGTTCGCTGCCAGCATTTCAAAGTCGTCTAGCTCATCGAACGGATCATCGATTTTGTGGCCGAGTGACACGGCATCGTCAGCCTCGGCGCTGAGGCGACCATATGCCTTCCGTGGGGGCCGCTTCACATATTTGTCTGTCGAGAAAATGAAAGCAACAAAATGAGGTGGAAAAATGCATGAAAAACTTTTGCTAAACAAAAGCGTGGTTCTATTGATAAAACATTTTTGCTTTTTATTTTTTTTTTGCAAAGCTCCCAGGCGGTCTGTATTTCAAAGTAACTCTATGGGGGGACGGTCTCTTCATGTAAAGCTTACATATTAGGAGAATATTTATGACAATGAATTCCAAAAGAATGAGAAAAGTATAGCTAAAGTAATTCTGGGAAAAATAAGGTGGAGGTCAAGTTGAGTTTGATTGTCAGTATATTCATAATAAATCTTAAAAAACAAGAATGGATATCATGCTAAAAGTAAATTTTAATATTTGTTTTTTGCTAAAAGTTTCCTTATTTATTTTTGTATAAATGCTTCATAAATTCCAATACAAAATTTGGAATTATAAAATAAAATACTATACAAAGAAGTATTTTTACTGATAATAGAATATTTCTTTAGCTTAAACATTTGTGTCAGTTAATAATTATAGTTACATTTCAACGTAAGACAAAATCTCTTAATATATCTTAAATAAATAAAACATATTTAAAAGAAGTCATCACTTTATTTAACCGTTCTTAATTTATATGCAATTCCCCATAAAACTTAATTAAAAAGCAAATGAAAGTGGGAAAAATTTTTAAGTGCCTTTACCTCAACACAAACTATTTGAATATATTTAGCAAAGAGCGGAAATTGCAATACATAAAACTTCTCTCAATTGCTTTATGATTGTTTTTAAATGGTTTTGCGATGGCAAACGCACATACTCTCCCCGGGTAATGCATTAGTTTTTCCAGTGTATAACTTTTGTTTCCGCTTCAAGGGAAACTTTCGCTGCTATGGCGCAAAGCTTCGAAATTGAGAAATGTTCCTCAATGCATCAGAAAATTTATGGCGGCTTTTGTGCTGCTCCGTACCGTTGAGACACAAAAACTTTCCGCATTCTTCGTATATTTTTGTTGTTTATTTGTTTGTTGTCGTCTTCCTGCCTGCATGTCCTTGAGTTGTGAAGTGATAAAATGAGATTTATTGAAGGCTTTGTTTGTCCAACAACGGGACAGAGGGTGTGATTGGCGGAGGGTGGAAAAGGACAATAAATAGTTCCTGGCGGTGAGATTCCATGAAGCCTTTATTTACGGCACAAAAATGTATGGCCCCCTTGATTTTTATGACCTCACTAGACGTTCGAGCCCCCATTAGCAGCTCATTATGTGGGCTTGGCTCTGTGTGCTGGCTTTAATTGCAATTGGGTTCAACACTGCGTATACGTGACGACACGAAATTGCCAGTTCAGAGGGTTTAATCGCATTTAAATGTTCAATTAACTTAAAGTTTCGCTAGCAGAGTATTTAAGTTTTATTGTGTGGGGCTTGACTCTTAAGCTTAACCTAATGGAAAAGTCGAGGCGTTGTGATTAAGTTTGATTAAATACTATGACGCAGAAGTTGTTTTCCTTTGTATGTATTTTTTAAAAACAAGTCACAACTAATTTGAATAGAATTATTATTACACTTTTATATTATTTTTTTCACCATGCCATTAAATAAATATTCCCAAAAACGCACTAAATAATGCCCTTAAACAAAGACCCCTAAATATTTACTCGGAAATAAAAAATGATTAAGAGCTTCTGTTGCTGTGGCTTTTCCTGAAAAACATAAACGACCATGAATATGAAAATGTGTCGTGCTAAAAAGCAAATAAAAAACGCATATATGGGGAGCAGACATTTTTGTGGAAATGACGGATGGTTGGAGTGCAAAGGCGGAAAAGAGTGCGGAAAAACCAGTGGAGTGAGAGTCCGGAAAGCGCGCCAGACCGTAAGGCAAACTAAAACTCAATTTTATCGCCAAAATGCGAAACGCAGAACGGCGGCTGGCCGGAAAGTATGCAAACATTTAACGCAATGTTTTTGCTGGACTCCGGGATTGGAGCTCAGGCGAATGGAAATTTATGACTCCGGACCGCCTTTAAGTTCAGTGCGCCGCCCGGTGCCTCTGACTCGTCGTGTAATCTCGCCAGATAAAAGTTTCTCTCGATTCTACTTTAGAATTACAGCACAAATTATTACAAATGATGCCGCCCGCCGCCGGCAGTCGGATATAAATCACGGCGGGAAAGACTGGAAGCCAGCAGACAGGAGCGGCGTTATTAATACGCCAGATAAATGCCTAATAATTCTTCGCATGCTGTGCCCAGGATACATTCTCCTTGCCAACTGCCAACCATAATTTATGATACATTTTCTGTTCAGCCATTGTTATTATTATTATTATTTCTGATGTCTGGCCCCAAAACATGAACTAATGATGCCGCCGGCCGAAAAACAGTCACATTTGATGGCCGGTAACCAGAACGCCGCAGAAAACCAAACAAAATTGAAAAAGTAATATAAAACGCCAACCAGACGTCCAGCAGGAGCCACAAATAATTGGACATTGCACCTAGATGTACACAGTAATAGAGAAAAATAAAGAAAATATATTTTAAACCTTGAATAGGGTGGAGTTTTACGGAATTTAGGGTACCGGCGTATGGATTTTTATATCACAAATTTGCCACTTTAATACGGACTATAGCAATGTCGTTTAAAACACTTTTTCATATGAAAAATATGCTTATTTAAGGAAATTTGAATCTAAAGATGGTTTGAAGTTTGCTTCCCTAAAATATTAAATTAAATAACTAGGCTCATTATTGAATTATTAAATAAATGAGCAACTTGAGTGTAATTTTTTTCTTGTGCACACGCACAGATAGCCACAGACAAACGCTGACACACCCTTCGACTAATTGCCATTGCTTGTTTTACAATTTCCCCCTCACAGATTCCGCAAATTGAATGCACAAACGCATTATTATCAATGACAAATGGCTGTCATAATTATCGGTTAATGCCGTAGCCATATGTTGCCCAGAATTTGCATAACACACATAAATCTCACCCTCTCTCTCGCGTCCTGCCTCCCTCTTCGTCGTCCTGTTTCCCTTTTATCCTCGTGTGAACAACAATACAACAATATGTTGACAAAAGCTTAAGGGCGGCGTCTCCTTGTTGTTGTTTTTGTTGATATTTGTTCAAGTTGGCAAATGAAATTTTTTCTGCGATTAAATTTCGCGCCTGCCGCGAGTGATTGGAAAAATTGTCGTTGGCATTGCCATTAATGTCATAAATGTTTGCAAATTTGCAAAAGTGAATAATGGCAATTTGTGCGATGTGGGAAAAAGGTTTTTCAATTATTTCCCTGACATTTAGCACTTTGTTTACCGTTCAGTTCCATTTCAATGGATTCATTGTGCAAGCTCATTAAATATTACCCTAGATAATGTTCAGTCCTTGTTCATTTGTTTTTCCGCTGGGCAACAGCTGCTCGAAGTAGTAAATCAAATTTGAGAAGCCTTTTAAGTAGCCCACAAAGCTCAGCTGTTCTTGTTTGCCGGAGTATGCACTTGGAAAATGTAATTATAAAACATAATTACAAGCACAAATATTTGGAAAGTTTCGCATTTGCGTAACGCAAATTCAATCAGCTAAAATCAATATGGCCAAAACTATGGCTTAACGAGACTTGTTAGCAAATAAAATTTAAAATTTGTGCTTAACATTTAAATTGCAATTTGTTCGTGTTTGCTTTTAATTTGTTCCCTGCCACTCAGCTAATTAATTAATAACATAGAGGGTTATTCATATTCCATATTCTGGTGAAATGCATACTTTTTAAGCACTTAATTGCATTTGCATAATTTAAAACAGCTCGGTTGATTTCACAGGAATTAAATCCATTAGAAGCGTGGATATACCAAAGGGAATTGTAATAAAAAAAGAAAAAATGTGTTCTTTTGATATAATACTTTTATTCATAAGGAATATGTCGTAATAATAAACAATTCATGGACCCTGTAAATGTATTTTTTCCTTTGGTAATCAGTAATTTGTGTGACCAAAAATAGGAAATAACATATTTATATTTACTGCCAAGTTATTCTGAGGGCGTAGTTCCACGGGCTATTTTTTGTGCATATATTAAATCATCAAATCCATTGATTCGTGGATTTTCGGAAACGTTTTTGAATATATATAACTTTAGCTGATGTGCTGGAGATAAGCGGAAAATAAAGAGAGAAGGAGCACTTGGACTTTGTCTGGGAAAATCAACAAAAGCAACTAAAAATTCCGATTGCTTGCCTCCGGCATTTACCACCCCCAAATATTCCTCCCCATTTTCCAATCCCTTTGCATTCCCCATTTTCTATCTCCTGCCATTCTCGATGAGGGTGCGAGACTTAGCGCTTAGACAAAAGCATCCTGGGACCGAAGCCCAAAGTGTTTTATTTTCGACAGTCACATCCGCACCACGTTTTCCCACACGCACACGGAGTCTCATTATTACGTGGGTTGTAGGGCCTCAATGTTATTTACTTTCCTAGGTTCTCCTTCAATTTTTTTCCACAAGGTTTTTCCCTTGGTTTTCCGTTGTCTGGTTCCCACTTTGCCATACGGCGAATAATATGAGTATGCAGCAAAGTACAATATATATTTGGCGCGTATATTCCACAAGTCATTTCGAGAATTTTAATTAACTTGTTTTGATAACAAGTAGAGGGTTTGGCTTATGAATAAAGGCAGGGCCTAAAGTGGAACATGTCTGGCATACGGATTCAAGGATATCCAACTGCGTGGGCTTTAGTCCCGTGGAAATCTGAATAAGGATGAAACATTGATCGGGTAATTGAGTTGATGAAAGTCATTAGATTCAAGGTAATCTATGAAAATATATAATATATGAAGTTGCGGGGGCTGGTGTAGATTGTCATCTTAAACGATTTGGTTTTGTTGAACAATTAAGCAAATTGATACTTAAGAATGATTGTGTAAGGTAGTCAAATTTGCTTTTAACAATTAATTCGCAATTTCACAGAAGTCGTTCTTAATGTAAATTGGTTAGTTTGCATATGAAAATGATTGCTATAGCTATTTAAATGCGATAATTCTTCAATTGACAATTAATTTAAACAAGTGTCAGAAAAATAAATAGAAAGGTAGTAACCTAGAACTTCGCTATTTAGGTTATTACTTAAGTAACTTAAACTAATTTGAGGCATCACTGCCTCATTATCTAATCGCATTTATTTAATTCGCATTTCCCCCATTTTTCTGACCAATATACCTTCAATCACTATATCATGCCTAACGCTATTTATGGTTGACTTTCGCCGAAGTTTGAGACTTAATGTGATTAGTCCGCTAATTATTGATGAATTATCCTAATTGAGGGCGGAATTTTGGCGTAGCTAACGCGACTAATTGATTGCCAAGGTATCTGCGATCGGGGGATTACCTTGAGTGCTATTGCTGTGATTGCCACCATTCGCGTTGCTCTTCGAGAAGCTGCAGTTGTTGTTGAAGGAGTTGAAGAAATTGGCGGCGCCAGTACGTCGTAAAATCCAAAACATGATTGCAGGATGTTGTCAAAAAATACGACGCAGTTGATATGTTGCAGCGCGGAAAACTAGGCAACGAACACTACTCGAACTGCATTTCCACCGACGGCATTTCAACGACGCGCAACGCCTGATAAGCGAACAACAAACGATAAGCGAAGTCGGGAAAGCACGGAAAAGTCTCTTATCCAACCACCGCTGGCGACCGTTTCGAGGCGAAGTCTTCAGCAAAACTAACTCGATTCGTCCTCGGCTCTCTCGTTTTATAGGTCCTCGCTTGAAAATGAGAGGAAAATGCCAAAGAGAAATTCCACAAGAGAGAGAGAGAGCGAGAGCGTTCCACCTTGGGTATACGTAATAACGTAAAGCCTTACGGCGGAAACAGCTCTTTCGCTCTCTTGCCGCTATATTTCATATTGGTAGCAACCTTTGCCTTTGGTAAATGCCAAACTTGACCTTCGTCAACACTTGCATGTCGTTTGCCCGCTGGCAGCTCATAATTTGTTTTGTTTAATAAACGATTACGTATGCGCCTCGTTGACGTGCCTCAGCTGTCGCTCCCGTTTCGGGCCTCTAAAACGGCCATCAATCATGCCAACCGGAAGTGGACGCTACTTTGTTGTCCGCCGTTTCCCGTTTAAAGTTTTATGTGCGTCTTATCTGGCTGCTCAATTAGACAGAGACATTTGACGACTTTTGGCTTTGAGAATAAATGGGTGTAAAGATAACACATGGAATCAGGTTATAGGTATAAAAATGAAAATAAATGGAAATATGGTAAACAAAATCGAGACTAAAGGGTAATTTAAGTAGAAATAAACCCAATAAAGAGTTTGAAATTTAATAGGGTCATTATTATTATTATAAAATATAAAAAATATATTTACATTGTTCTTAAAGGAGGTGTTTTCAAGTTCCTAAAGTAAGCAAAATAAAGTCTTAATTAATATGGTGGAAAAATGTTACACCTTAACTAAGTCTTATTGATTTTTTTGTTCCCCCATTTTTTCCATCTGTGTAGCAGCCACAGAAACCAACGGAAATGTTAAACGCTGAACTGCTGCCACCAGCACTTGCATCCGCATCAAAGTTTCCCTTTTATGGTTAACGCTTTTCCTGTGCAAACAAAGACACCCCTGAACACGCGCCCCATACACACCCACACCCACACATACACACACACATACACTCCATTAAGTTGGCGTGTTCAAGTGCAAGTGCAAGTTCATGCCCTGCGAATTGCGAATTGTCGTGGCGATTTGTTTATTTGTTGCACGCGCGACGATCTTAAAGCGCTTTCAAAACGATTTCAAAGCTCTTTCGAAGCATTTTCAAAGCACCCATAGCTTTAATGCTTAAACCGAGACAAGACTGTGATTTGATGATTCGGTTTCGGTTCGCCGATTTGAGTAACCCGATACTGATTGCTGGGGGATTGTGGCCATGTGCGTGGCCTTATAGGGCAGGAATTGTGGCACATGCGTTGCCCTGCCGCTTACATATATGTAGCATACCTTTGTGCGCATTATAGAGTCGCAATTTAATATTTAATCATCGAGTTGATGTTCAACAATTCAAATTGCCGCAAATTGTGCCCTGAACTTTTGGCATTGGTGACATTACAAATTCATGCGGAACGTGGCAAAGTCACAAAGAGTCCAAATGAATCCAAATGATTCTCCGAATACGTTTGAACTTTGCTATGTGTTGCGCAAACTTTTGCCCCATAAATTATGCACTATTAAAAGCTCATGCCTTATGCATGTCCTTATTGCAAAAGCCAGCAAGGACATGGCCTGGTGTATAGCCATAAAAAAATAAATATATCAAGTATTAGTTGATATAAAATGCTTAAATGAATGGAATTGAATTGCAAATGAATTTTAATATATCAAAATAGTTTATAATAAATGTACGTTTACAAAACAAGTTATTATTTATGACAGATATACAAATATATAATAATTGTTTTATGAAACCATTTTTAATGGGCTTTAAGTTTTCTTAATACAGTGTAATTTGACTATTTTCAGTGTAGCCACAACAGAGCATTGCACACACAGACAACAATTAAATAAATTCTCATCGGATAAGCGTGAAAATGTGTAGTCACTTACGTCCAGTTGATGCTATTAAATAGTTCGATAAATAGTTCGCATTGGAGTTCTTGATGGCTGCAATTTAGTTAGCATTTGTAATTTGATTAGGTGACATGAAAAACGAACGTTTGCCAGGAATGTGTTATTGAAAAACCAAATGCTTGTTAATCTTTTAATTTCGTATTTGCACATGTTGCAAATCGAAATGGTTTCCAATTCCCTTATTGCGGTTTTCAATGAAATTAGCTAAATACAAAAACTCGTTTACAAAATCCAATTATTTAATACTGGCCATGCCAGGCCACACAAAGTTTTCGACTCGAGCACATAAACAAAGCTTTGTAAAGTTGGCCAACTTGCCACAATCAATATTGATGGTAAATGGAAATTCCGTTTGCTTTTGGCTACTTGAGCGACTTGGCGTAGAAGTTTCGGTGCTTGAATTTAATTCTCATCACACAGCTGCAAGTATAGATATTGAAAATCATTGAGTTCGATGATGGATTTTGCTCTTATATTCACCCAATTAGAAGGAAGGATATCAAATAGAATGCAGCGCTAAGAAAATTAAATTCCCCAGGATTTGTGGTCAAGGAGTTCTTGTAAATTGCCGTATAAAGAGGAGCAGCCACTGGAATTTAAATATATTTAATAATGAAGACTTGAGAGTAATATCATCTACCAAAAGGCGCAAAAGATTGCACGATGTTTCCAATTGCAAAGAGTTTGCCTGATGATTTAATAAATAATTATTAAGGCAAGAAAATAATTTTATATATATTTTTCCCACCCGTGTCCGAAGCTGGAACTATGTTCGATACAATTGTTCGACACATAGGTCCTTGAATGGAGCGGAATACCCCCAAGGCCACGGATAAGTACAAGTGCCATGTTAAATAAGCATATCCTCTGGCCAAATTGCTAAGGATCTCCGAAAGCAGAGAGAGTAATGCCAAGGTAACCACAGACAGGCCAAAAAGCTGCAAAAATAAGTTTGCATATATTTTAAGATTACTTTGTGTATCAGCTTAAGAGTTCACCAGAATATTCACCTTTCTAAGTATGAGAATCCCAACTAGAGCTCCCAGCATTGGCACCGATTGACTCACTGTCTCGTAAATGGTATATTCGCGCACTGTCATGTGAAACTGCTGACGCACGAACAAATACATCACAGTCATGACGCCATCTACAAGAATGTCGTCAGCTCAATCATTATTCTAACCGTGAATAAATAATGGATTTACCGCCAACAAAGATGGAAACAAAACCAGCCAAGGTAACCAGCCAAATGATGGAGTGAGCGTTGTTCTCTCTTCTCTTAAAGCAAGTGCTAAACATGTCCTTAATGTGCTTGATGCTCAGCAATCCTGGCTCTTTAGTTTTCTCTTCAATGTCCGGTTTTTCTAGTGTCTCGTACTTTGGTGGCTCATCACGCTTTTCATGTGCCTCGGGCTTCTGATCGGAAATTGTCACAACAATTTCCTTCTCCTTTTCGGGAATTTCATCCTGATCCGGACACATTCCTAAACTTTCCGGCAGGTAGAAAATAATAAACAATGTTGCTAGGATAACTATTAAACAGGAGAGACTCTGGACGAAGGCGGCACTGGTGGCTGCATACACAAAGCTGGACGTTAAGGAACCACTGGTGAGGGCCACGAAGAGTATAAACTCCATGAATATCATTCTGAAAGATACAATTAATTTTAAACAGTCTTTTATTAGGGATTAACCTATTAAAAATATTAACCCACCTGTAAGGCCTGGTATTCCTGTCCGTTGTGTCTGATATAAAGCAAAATGCAGCCACCATAAATACACACAGTCCGCCGAGAAGGGAGTGAGGGACAGCGGCCAGGGTGTACCACCAGGGATTAACCATATAGTAATTAGACAGCCAGCAAATGACAGACGACAGCATAGCAGAAGCAGAAAAGCCTAATAATAATACATTTCTATAATATTCTCTTTAAATGCGATAAACAAAGCTTTCAAACCAATCATGGAGACTATGAGCAAAGGTTTTCGGCCGTAATGATCCGACCAAGAACCAACAAATAATCCACAAATGGCCGGCACAATGCTCTCGAAAAGTGTCCGTGTAAGAAACATATTTGCCACATACGACTGCAGTTCGGTCTCAATTGCCTGATAATAATCCTACATTATTTTCATTTCAATTAAAATTAATTAAAGTTGTTACCTGAATTTCTGCCGTATTGTTTTTGCTATCCAAAAGTTTGCAATCACTCTCATTATACTGAAATATCACCGTGCAGGTCTGATAAATCAACTGATTACGCATGACGGTACCTAATGGGATGATCGTGCTATAGCTATATCATTATAATTGAGATATCTGCTCACCTGACAGCATGTGCGAGAATAGAAGCATAAAAATCACCGGTTCTATGTAGAACATGTTGAAGAGACGCCCCCATTCCAGGCTTCTAAGCCGGGCCAAAGAGGCCTTTTCAACCATTTTAACTATTATTTTTTATTTGTTTGGTATCGGAAACTTTATAATTATAACAATAAAATTCACTGGCTTTCATTCAGTTGCATCAGCAATCGCAAAACTGATAGCCTGTTTATAATTACTATAATTTAGCGTTATTATAGTCAAGTCCTATAATTTATTTACAACAGATTTAGTTTGATAAAATATCATTAAAAGCATTGTAACTTAATTCTATCGCTTGAATTTTTAATATATAATTTTAAAAAACTTTTAATTTACAAATTATTGTTGAATTTAAAAATTCAATTACACTATTATTTTATTGATATATACATTTCTTGATACACATTCTTCAGTATAAATTGTTAGTGCCAAATCTTTTAAACTCTGCTGTTTCATTTTTTTGTATAATTTTAAATAGACCAATTCATAAATTGCTCTCTTGTATATATTTTTATATATTTAGTTGATATAATTGCACTTGTATCACTGGTTTTAAATTCGCGTTAAATTTATTATATAATTTTTATATGTATATAAATTTATCAATAGTTTAACCTTGACTTTGTTTTTGTCACACGCTTGTTTTTTTTATCCAAATAGATTATTAATTACACTTTTCACTCCGACTTTTCGCTTGGTTGGTTATACT